TGTGATTCTGACGGTCTTCAGCTGAGCATCTAGAGCATGCGGGACCTCGGCTTACGATTCTGCTCTCGCTTTGTTTTCTGCTATGTTAGTGCACGGCCATGTCCCCCCGATCTTGTTAAGAGTAATTCTCATTCCGATAATCAAGAAACAAAACCTGAATCCTTCACTTAAGAATAATTATCGCCCCATTGCAATCTCCAGCCCCATTTTCAAATTATTTGAATCCATTCTCCTCAGTCGCCTGGAGAAGCACTTATTATCTCCGGCGAATCAATTTGGTTTTAAAAAACACCATGGGACAGACATGTGTATTTTCGCACTCAAAGAGATAATCTCTTACTTCAAAAGCCGAGGTTCTTCTGTATTTGTTTGCTTTCTTGACGCCTCTAAGGCATTTGACCGAGTTAATCATTTTACTCTGTATAAGAAATTACTTGATAGAAATGTACCCGTCTATTTAGTACGTATTATAGTTTACTGGTTTCAAATGTTATCCCTCAGGGTGCGTTGGGGATCTTCCGTTTCGGATAGCTTTTGCTTCGGCAACGGTGTTCCCCAGGGGAGTCTACTTTCCCCTCTTCTATTTAATGCATACGTTACGAGCCTTACTGTTAAGTTAAACGCTGCCAATGTGGGTTGCTTTATTGGCAGAGTCCCTGTAAATCACCTTTTGTATGCCGACGACTTTTGTCTGATATGTCCCTCGGCGAAAGCGCTAGAGAAAATTATTCATGTATGTGAGACTTTTGGTGCCGAAAATGATATGACCTTCTGTGACAGGAAGACGAACTGTATGTTTTTCCCCTGTCACCGAAGCCGCTTGCCTACATGTAGTACGCCACCATCTGTGAAACTGTACGGCACTCCACTGCCCTATGTGCTTTCGGTCACTTACCTTGGCTACCAAATTACACCGGACCTTTCCGACGACGATTCCATCCGTAATCAAACCCGCCAGCTGTACACAAAAGCGAACTCTTTAATCCGAACTTTCGGCAACTGTTCCGCTGAAGTTAAGCGTATACTCTTTGTAGCACATTGTTCCCCCATGTACTGCGTACAACTATGGAACAATCATAGCGCAGGTGTGTTGCAGAGGCTGCGGGTTGCTTACCATGATGCTTTCAAAATCATTATGTCTCAGCCTCGCTCCACCAGTAACAGCTTGTTCTTTGCCCAGTTGGGTGTCGACACCTTCGACGCCAGGAGGCGAAAGCTGACACACTCTTTTGCGGCTCGCCTCCTGGTGTCCGGTAACGGCATCATCAGTTTGCTCTTACGCTCTGATGCCTTCCCCAGAAGTCAGTTCTGGCGTAGGTACTGCCAGTTGGTATGCAGACCTTAAATAGGCCCCGTTTCTTTTATCCCAGACACCGTATTTTTAAATTTATGTATTTTGTGTTGTCTATTGTATATGGGCTTTGCCTGAGTCAAACAATAAATGAAATTAAAAGTTCAAAATTCATCGTTTAAATTTTGAACCAGCCTGGTGTGTTGACTTCATGGCTCCTATCATACCATTTTGGGCCATAATAGGATGCCTAGGCCTATTTTTTTTCGCCCGCCCGCTCCATTATTTTTCTAGAAAAATCCGTTAACCAAGAGATTAAATTGGTGTGGCCTAAGCACGGTTTAGAATAATTATTATACATGGTGCAGATATGGAGATGTTTATCAAAGACGGGGACACAGGTACCTTAAGATCACTCAGACTCCACACCAACCATTTAAGAAAGACGCTGGACGCAATGCCAATCATAGAGGACATAAAGGGGCTCCTCAAAATACGACTGCTTCTATAGCGTAGGGGAGACTTTTCAGTTGAAACTGAGAGAAGACAACGTCCTGAACTATTCTGAAATCAAACCCTCTGAACAATTAATTAAGAGCTATAGACGTGGAAATGGAACACTAGAAGAACTTTCAGAACACACCCAGCAGACAATGATGCTGTCTTCTCTGTGAATTTCCAAGGTTTTAGGACCATCTTCTGTACTTTGTTATCTTCGCTTGGGGCGTCACTATGTATATGGATGTTGCTGGACTCAATGTAAACAAACTTGAAAATTAAGCTAAAATAGGTTCGCTGTGGATAGATATATGGAAGAAAAAGAAAATATTAGAAATAGGATGCATTAAGTGGCATTCACCACCAATCAAGTCAATTGGGAAGTATTCTGGCCTTTGTAATGGCACCCTAATGAGATTGAGTAAGACGGATTAAAATTATACAGTTGGAGACATAAGTTACTAATTCTAAGATCACTAGTAGCAGCAAAGGCAACATGTATTATGTACGTACTTCCAGCACCAATCAGTGATATATAAATACTACTTTCTTTAATCAAGTGTGTGTGGCGTAAAAAGGGGGGTCAACATAAGCCCTGTTCAGACGGAGTCAGTGAAAGCGCTTTACATGTGGTTTCCGCCGAAGCCGGTTTCAAGTGGCCCCATCCGAACGATCCAAATCACATGGTAAGCGCTTCAATCCCAAACCACTTCGGAAGGTAGTTTCGAACCGGTTTTCCCGGATCGCGATTTGCGTCTGAACGCAATGTGATTTCAATGTCATGGATTACGGGGTGATATTTCTTTATTTATATGCAATATCATCTTGGCGGGACCTTTGCGGGACTGTAGCCGCTATGCGTCAGACCATGACGCCCGCGGAGGATTGAACTTAAAGAGCAGCAATGAGCAGCGAATAATGTGTCCATTGTAGGACGAGATTCACCGCCTCTGGCGAGATACGCTGGAAGGGAGGGGGGCTTACCAGCAAGCAGGTCGTTGACCTCTGGCATTGATAACACGCTATCTTGCGTGTTTTCATCAAACAACAGTTAATGTAGATTAAGCAAACCGTGATCGGACACGGTTTGAAAGGAACGTGTGCCACGTGGACCAGATGTGAGGAGTGCGAGTTACCCGAATCTAATCTCCAAGCAGATCTTTCGGTGGCAAGACAGTATCCATTGGCCAGAGGAGTGTCCATTAGCCACCGAAGTGTCGACACTGGCTTGTAATGTTGACTGCATGTTGACTGCATTTCTACACCCATACACACAGCATCACTCTGTCATACTGAAGATGAATAAGGACAAGAACAGAAAACTTTGGTTGCAAGTTTTATTCTAAGTGTTCATGAATGTCGATGACAAGATGTGTTGATATCGGATGTTAGATATAAAAGATGACATAATTTTGTTGAGTAACAACGACAGCAACGGCATGATATTTCGAAATACATTGCTTATTACCCATTATTATTTGTTTTAAGATACCAGTAAAATTAGAAACTGCAGGACAGAATGCAGAGTATTAATAATCAGTTACCAGCCGTTACTATAGTGGTGACCGGTTAACATGCATTGGTCAGCCTGTATATTGCCGGCTTAGTAAGGCTTAAACCTATCCATGTGCCTCTATTAACATAGGTCTTCTTGTTAAAGATGGCACAAATTCTGGAATTTCTGACTTAGACGATGTTGCTGTTTACAGTATGGTATGACCTGTTGATCATGTACATGTAGTGATGTTAAACATTTCAATCAAAGGTGTTTTTAAATGCTGCATGTAAAGCATATCTATTTTAAACATGCACATGTACAGGTTCTCTCATTTTCTCTTACCCTGAAGCAGTAACAAATTCCACAGTTAGAAATGACATTCAAAGTGACTTAAATCACTGGTCAGTTTAAATTTGGGAAGTCTGTTTTTGAATTTTCATCGCTCAGGTTAGAATCTGTTGCTGGAACTGTACTGACATTTTTGTACATGGGTTAAAGAGGTTGAATCATATTGTGTGGTGAATTTGGTGACAGTTGAAGGGATTTTGACTGTAAAAATAATCATGTATTCCCAAATTTTAAAGGACCAGTGTGTTGTGATGTTTTCTTGTTAATATCAAACTCTCCTGATAAAGTATTGACTTCTTAAATTGATTGTTGTACAGAGTACATTTAGGTGCCAACTCAAAGGTGTTCCAGCGCAAAGTCCACTTTCTTCAGTAAATCTTACAAAAGGATGTTGTATAATTAGTTGACGTCAATTTAACTAGTTGTTTCTTGAGTCAAATTTTTCGATGTTTTTTTGTTGAAAAGACATGCGTGCAAATGAAAAAAAGTTCTGGGTCATAATTTGTTTCCACGTTTGTGTTTAAATTCTTGTATTTTTCCAACAAAAAGTGCCAATAGAGTAATTTTCATATTTTATGTTTATAGAGTGCAGGTAGGAAAACCCTTTTAGAATAGGTTCTTTGCTTTGAATTTGGTGGATGTGGCCTTAGGAGAGTTTGTAGTAACTTCGCACTTGCAACCATTTTAGATAAGCATAGCAGAAAGTCACGCAGCTTTAGTACACCTATAAACACCATTAATGTTAGAAGAGGTTTGAGCTGTCTTCCAAACGCTATCAAATTTCACCTACCAAATTTTCAACCAGCTCTGTATAAATATTCTGTATAGTATGCAAAATACAGAAATGCAGAAATTTTGGAAAAAGGTACCCAGGTAGACTGTGATTGTGTTTGGAAGACAATTTAACCTTTACTATCACACGAAGAGGAAACAGAGCATGCATGTAAATGGTATTAGCATCACTCCACCCGAATCACAAAGATTAATAAAATCTCTAAAGATTTGAAGAGATTTAAGAGCCTTAACTTAAAATGTAGCAAGAAAGAAAAATTTGAAAATGACAAAGGAAAAGATAAACAGATCTTGACCGCCTTCTGCCAAGATACTGTGCTTAAGCAAGTTAAAGAAGAAAGAAAGAAAGAAGGAATGAAAGTTTACTTTTACCCTCATTAAAAGTGCACCAGCATGCTCAAACGTTCAGAACCAATAACACCAGTCTATTCTATCTTAACTTCAACAATGAAGTCCAAAGTCAGATTTTGACATCACCAACTTTGAAGGGACCATTTTTTTTTGCTTCAAAGTGCTTTGGGTAGGAATTCTAATGGACCAGGTGTTTTTTTCCACTATATTGCATAAAATTTCAGAAAATGTGTGTGAACTAATCATGTTAGTCATTACTGCTAATTTCATTTGGACTTCATTGTTTAATTAGTTTGATCAAAAGCAAAATTAGATTTAGACATTCACTTGAGCCAATTTCAGTCACACCTTTTCGGTGAGTTTGATCCGCGCCTCAAATTACTTCTCTAGGTATTAGCATTCTGATGCTAAACAATGGAGACTGGGTCTGAACACTCCAGTTGGTCACTTTTAAAAACAATTCTTAAAAATAAAGTCTACTCCCAAATCAAGAAAGGGTCGGGGGTTATCTGAAGATACCCCAATTAACAAAAGAGAGAATGCTTGAAAAACCTACACGTATCTTATCCCTGGCCTGTGTGACATGCTATTCGTATACCAGGGCTCCCATAGCTCCCTAGATGTTTTGGGCTGGGAGTATCATACTATAAGGAGCCCAGCTGCAAATCGGACGGTACCAAGGCTGTTCCCAAATCTTCAAACTACACCAGTATACTTGTAGTTGCTTAGCGGGTGGCATAAAAAGAAATAAAAATTCTACACTGTGGAGCCTCTCTAGCACAATCAAGCATTTTGTTCTGAATATACCACATGAACAGCGTAATATTTCCATTACAACAAATGTTAATACACACATCACGCGATTGTCAATCTCCTTCTTTTAATAACATCAAAACTCTTTAGATGGAACTTAAGTTTTCGGAGATGAAACAATTTATGTCGAATCATAGATAAGCAGATGGAACCCAACAATTATCAACAGGATAGAGATGGGTAATCAAAAGACACATTGTTTCTGACTACACTTATTCTTCCCTACTAGAAAAATCACTCTCTAGAAAATTGCTCCGCGGAAAGATCTGAGTGGCCCAGCATCTATAGAAGCGTTGGTTACTGTGGGTCTATCGATAACATCTAACATTCTGCACTACAAATCGTTTAAAATTGGCTTGTAGCGGTTTGAGTCACACCCAACCCTACTACACCTCGTGCTAGTCTTCCACAGCACTTGATTCTCTACACAAGGCGTTTTGCTGAGCCAACTTCTGATCCAAGATTCTTCCTGACATCGGCACCAGTGTAGTAGCCCGGGTAAGCCTTCCAGTCATTACCGCGGAACCTTCCATACTCGTAGAGAGTCCATTCCTCACCTGAGAAGAGGAACAATTACACATATAGCCATGATGCTCCAACATGACATAACAAAGTACCAAAAGTTTACCTGACTCTAATTAATGAAATACAACCCTGGACGACTTTTAAAAAGATAAGACAACACGAGTTTATGGGAGGAGCTAACTATAGATAAATATGGTCTATACGACTTTGCATCTTCTTTAATACAGATACATTTTGCATTAACATTGTAGGTATTTTAGAGTTACTGTATGATAACCCTATTCTACAATCAAAACAGAAAAAGAGAAGCCAATATTTTACTATCAAGTTGATACCTCATTTATTTAGGTTGTCCAACATCTGAAGTGTTCATTTCAATCTGCATAATCATGATTTCGGTAGGGTTTGAAACATACCTGTTTTAACACTTTCAGCCAACGTTGCAATCAGGTCCTGCAACTTGTCAAAGTTGTTCAGCGGGAAGACTCTGCCGGCATCTTGGGTGATATGTACCAGCTCATTTGGTTTAACACCAACGCCAACTGCGAAGACGGTGAAGCCGTCCCGTCGAAGGGCTTGGGCAGGGCCGTCAACAGCGTCATTAGATTCCCCGTCAGTCACTACAATCACCACCTGAGACCACAAAACAATTTTGACAACTGAAAAAGAAGCTATTAGCATAATCCATTTGTAAACGAGAAGTTTGAAATGTGTGGAAAAGTGACATGAGCATGGTAGATTTTCACTCTGTTTTAAGATGTAGAAAGGGAAATTGTAGTGTTGAATTGAATTGAAATAATTCTAAGTGTTGCATGCGCAGTCAATTATGTCTATGTAAAAATCAATATAAGAGCCTGCTGGCTATAATCGTGTTAGTGTTTTCTCCATGCTGCCAGACGGATTCAAACTGTTACTCTGATATAAATGTCATTGATCTTCAATTAGAACCAGACATTAATGTTTTGAAACAGTGAAAAACTGCCCCCGTCAGTAGCTGCAGGGCAAAGGTCACTACTTGGCCCCTGCCCAGAAGGCCCAGTCTGAGACCCCTTTATTGAGTGCAGCCAAACCAACTGAAAACATCCTTTTTCTTGGTATGTGTGGATAAATGCTGGCATTTTCTAGCTCGAGAGTTATTATTTTTTTCTATTTTGTTGAAAAACTGACTTGTTTTGGCTGCCTGGTAGAGCTCTAAAAGCAATGCCATTGTATTGTCATGAGGTCATGACCTCAGTGTTTCCATGGATCATACTTATTTTCGCTGGACAAAATGTGAATTTTTGGACTAAATGAACAATTTGGAAGTTGGACTACCCTGTCAATATGAGTTTGCAATAGTTGAACACTCAAGTAGGTGATTTTTGACAGGTCAGTTCTTGTATGTTTAACATATATTCCAATGGGGGCTGGAATTAGTGTCCTGTCCCCTGAATAAAGATGGTGGATGTCGTCTGAAAGCTTCTACGTGCGTAACAGTTTAATCATTCCTTTGTACTACACATTGTTATCTAAAAGGATGAATGAGACTATTTATAAAAGGTCCCAACTCACCCGTTTAGCAGGTGGCTGCCTCCAATCCATCTGGGTGCGGACAGCCTCCAGGGCTTTACCGGTATAAGTATAGCCGCCATTTTGATACTTGACACCCTGGATGGCCGTTTTCACAGAGGCGTTGTCGGTATGGGCTGCCAGCTTAAACTCCACACTGTGGGAAAGATTGGGCCAAATAAATTGTCATTAGGTATAGACAATGAACACATTGCATATCATTATGTTAATGTAAAACTGACATTGCTTAAAACCCTAAAAATGATAGATACGTAGAGTGAAGTGAAAATTAAAATGACACGAGAAGATACAAGCACGGGCTTCTTAGCATATGATTAGCATATGGCCTATGCCGTTTCGCTCCTGATCTTTTATATCGACAATTTGTACATGTATCTCGTTGCTGCTACTTACCTCACAATGTTGGAGTACTGAATCATACCGACTCTGGTAGTCGCTGGGCTGATGGGCAGATCAGCAGAGATTTTACTGGCAAACTCTTTCACCTTTTCAAAGTTGTTTTGCTTGATGCTGCCGGATCCATCTAGCACGAAAACCAGGTCCACCTGTTGTTGCTGTGCATGTGGTTGAGCACCCCCTTTAGATAGTGCAGATTCCACCGTAGTGGAATGTGTGTCAATACTTGGTTTGTATATACTTGGGTAATGGTACTTTATATAGAAAGTTAGATACGGATTGCATTACATGTGTAGTATATATTATTAATATGTCAATCAACGGCATGGGGACGTGCGAGCTACTAACGGTGGCTGATGATTGTAATTGAAATGCATGTTTAAGAAAATTTCATTCTGGTCTACAGATATTTGACAATCATCATAATTACCTTCGTCAAGAAGGTTATGTTTTCAAAGGCGTTCCTGTGTGTGTGTATGTGTCTGTCTGTCTGTGTGTCTGTAAACACGATAACTCGAGAAGGCTTAAATGGATTGTCTTCATACTTGGTAGGTGGGTAGGTCTTGATGAGACCTCGAAATGATTAGATTTTGTTGCCGGCTTGTTATGGTACTGCAGCGGAACATTTGGTTTTGATATCTCATAATCTGGACGTGCAAGGGTCAGGACATTTGAATGATACGTAGGTCTTGTGCTGGAAAAGAAGTGACGTAGGTTTGGGCCCCCTAGCGGCTTGCTCGGAAATTGAAGGGTCGTTTCTTTAAAAGATATTCAAAAGAGGATAACTCAAGAACCGGTTAATTGATCGTCTTGACTTTGGTATGTAGGTAGCTTAAGTGACGTTTGACATAATCATGTTACAATTGTGCAAATCCGCATGTAATTTGCATAATCTATGAGGAAATTCTATAAATCAGCTGCATTAGATTAAAGGACTATTCAAGCTTGTGACATATGTAATTGAGAACGAGAGAAACACAGGCAGATATTGATTATGTAGATTAACACTTATTTTGCATAATTAATGAGAAAATGGTAACTGTCTGGAATTTCATACTTGGGGTATTTAAAAGTTAACATTATTAAACATAAGTTATGCAAATAAGGACCTCATTTGCATAACTTATGAGGAAATTACAAGAATGGCCTTCTTTGTTAAGATTAGGCTGTCTTGTTGCGGCGAATATGATCAACTGAATGAGAATCCTATTTGCAAATGAGAATTTTATTTGCATAATCAGGAGGAATAATCTTTACTTTCTCAGTCATAAAGATTAACATCATTTGGCGAAGATATGAGATCGTGGAACCATCATACTGTATCTACTAGAACGCCCTTGTTAGTAGTGTTACTGATTCAGCATGAACCGTCTACTCACCTAATCCAATGATCAGGGACTGACAGTCGCTGTCTTCGATGCTGTCGGTGGTCGCCGTGATCACGGAACAGGAACCGCGGAAGAAGTCGTTGTCAAAAAGCATGAGGCTACTCGGGGTGACCAACCGCAGGGACCGGACTTGATCTGCATTAGTGACCAGTTATGTAACGATTTCTATTGCCGGAACTACAAATGGATATGATTATTGTATCGCGTTACATATCTAGTGTTAAGAGTTAACTGAATTAGATGTGAAAGGAACATACTGGCATTCACATGTAACATGCCTGCCATTTGATATTTGCAGATATACCCCCATGCAAGAGTGTACTTTTCTAAAATCAATCACATGCAAAATTGACTCTTCGAAGTTGTATGTCCGTCCCCAAACTACCAGGTCATTCGGCTGTGGGCATACGGCTTAGACACCTCTATGCCACCCAGTCATGCCAAATTTTAAGCTATTTATCGGAGCAAAAAGGTACGTTTTGGTCTGAAGATAGGAAAAGGCCCCAAATAAGTCATTTGAAAGTGATACCCAAAATGTTCATGAAGTCCTTTGGACATCTAATAATATATACCAATCCCAAAGCTGCGGCATGGGCTTAGCTGAGAGTCTTACCTTTCCATTCGTCTGCCACGTTCAGGGACTGTGCCTCCTTTTTGACCTGTTGTGTATCCTCGTACCCCCGGCGGGGTGCCAGCAGAAACGACGCCCCCATGAAGTTGTTATCAGTGTACACCAACCACGTTCCCTCATCCACCCATATGGACGCAACGCTGCTTTTACCTTTTGGAACTTCCTTAACTAATGATAAAGGAAAAAAGGACATTCTTTAATTTTTTTTATTATTATTTGAACAAAATTTTAAGTGGTATTTCTTTTATGACGTTTAACATTATAAATACGGCATGAAAAGAAATCTCAATTAAATTTTTGACTGATTTTTCCCATTTCAAAACTTTGTACCCGCAGAGGGTTTTTGAACCTTTGACTGCATCATTGTGTATAAATGACAATAAAATAAGGATTAGGCTTGAAGGACGATAATAAGTACCTAACCATGTTGTGTCATGAAAGGATATACAGGTATTTACTGATATTGATTGTTATTGTTATTATTACAATTTGTTTGCCAACATTAATTTTGTAGAAAATTGATGGCGGAATTCCGGAAAATGTTCAGTTAAATGCCACAGCCTCTTGATTTTTCTTACTGATACGTTACACTCTGCAAAAAAAATCACTTGGAATAGAAATCGTCTAAATGTCTTAAGATGGAGATTGTTGCATGCATGAAAGATTACCTTCATACTTGTCGCTGGTGGCCTTTACGGCGTACTCACGGCCTCGGTAATTGTCTTGGTCGTAAAACGTGATGGAGGCCATCTTCTTTAAACAAAATGTGATAATTAGGCTCCGCATGTAAGCAATTGAAGAAATGGAAAGTGCGTAATAAGAATTCCAGCTAAAACAAGCCCTAGATTAGTTAGTTTGAACTATTTTCGTGAGTGGTTAAAATACCGTGTTTGCACGCGCTATGCCTCTTGGATTGGGGTAGGGAGATTTTGATACCCGTGAAAATAAGAATTACGATCATCAAGGTCACCCACTAGGACGGCAGTAGCTTCCTCACATCTTAAATATGATGACATGCTACAAAATGATGGCATAAATGTCCAGAATTCGGTTGATAGATGTGAAAACTGAAGTACCGATCGCGATTTCAAAAGTTAAAGTCGAGGGTTTACTGTAAACGACATTCTTGGACCCCAGATCGAACGCGCGCACGTTCAGTTCTAATTACGTTCGATCGAACATAAGTCGTTTCGAAAAAAGAATGGGACATTCGGGCCAAATCTGACCACCATGAATGTCCCAAATTTAACCCAACAAAATAACCTCAAAGGCCTACATAAAAATACATAAAAGGTTTTTAAAAATGGGGTATTTGCCCACTCCGCCTCTCCAAATTGAAGAAATTGAATCCATTTGACAAATGGCAGGAGAAGAAGATGGGGGAGAAACACCAGAGAAAGCGTTATGTTTATTTTTTTTCTCATTAATACCTTCGTATGGAGTGAAATATCATCGAGGTAGAAAAACGTGCAATGTGAAGCCAAACTTCAGTCGAACCGTAGAAGTGGGCACAGCTCTCTACTCTCTTCCTAGTCTAGAAGTGGGCACAGCTCTCTTCGTAGAAGTGGGCACTGTTCACTTCGTAGAAGTGGGAACAGCTCTCTTCGTAGAAGTGGGCACAGCTCTCTTCGTAGAAGTGGGCACAACTCTCTTCGTAGAAGTGGGCACAGCTCTCTTCGTAGAAGTGGGCACAGCTCTCTTCGTAGAAGTGGGCACAGCTCTCTTCGTAGAAGTGGGCACAGCTCTCTTCGTAGAAGTGGGCACAGCTCTCTTCGCAGAAGTGGGCACAGCTCTCTTCGTAGAAGTGGGCACAGCTCTCTTCGTAGAAGTGGGCACAGCTCTTTTCGTAGAAGTACATTTACGGCAGTACATACCAACGTATACAACAAGCCGGCACATGCTGGCTTTTGCCGAAGTTATAAGTCGGCAGTCTCGGCACTGTACGTATGCACTGAGTTCTCTAGTCGTGGAGCTTCGGTAGCCTGGGTGCCCAGCTCCGTATTGTTGCTAACTACCATGGACTACCCAGGTCAGAGCCTCGGTGGACATGATCTTTTTTATAAACATTTCACAAAGACACTTTTAGGCTAAAGGCTAAATTCTGTACCTACACGGAGCCTACAGCTATACATACTAAAATTTCCTCTTCACATTGAAAAAATCCCTTCTATACATTCTAAAAATCTCCCCCCCCCCATACATTCTAAAAATCACCGCCATACACTCTAAATTTGAGCTCCATACATTCTAAAAATCACCTCTATGCACCTCTGTTAACTTTTAAGTTCTCGTTTGAGAAATTCTTGTAATGATTTTAAGGAAAACTGTGCAACATTTAAGGAAACTGTGCAATATTATGTGTCTGTGAATGTATCACAATGTTATGTGTTTAATGTTTCCCTTCATGTACGGTCATAATTCATGGCCGACGTGACCTGGTCCCTTTCTTATTGCCTTCGACTGAAGGCTATGCCTTCGGAGAAGGTTATGAAATCGGGTTTGCACTGTTTGGCAGATTAGGCACGATAACTCTTGAAGGCAAGGTCCGAGGTTCACGATTTTTGGCAGGCAGGTTGATTTAGGGGTGGCCATTGTCAAGGCTAAAAATGGGCTTCGTGGGGGGTTCCTAAGTCACTGTAGTTGACCTTGGTTTTTGGTGTTTTTTCCTTGTCATCAAGATATCTCAAGAATCCTTAAATGGATGTTCATTATTTTTAGTGGGCAAGTTACCGTTGAAAATGCCGAGGTCAAGTTCAAAGATGGGCCCCGTGGGGGTTTCTATGTCACTGCAGTTGACCTTTGTTTTTTGTGTTTTTTCTTGTCATCAAGATAACTCGAGAATCTTTCAATGGATGTTCATGTTTTTTAGTTGGCAAATTACCATTGACAATACCAAGGTCAAGTTCGGATATGGGCTCCGGTGGGGGGTCCCCACGTCATTGAATTAGAAAGTACTGCAGCGAAACTTCTGGTTTTTAAATCTCGTGATCTGGACGTGCTAGGGTCATGATTTTTAGATGGTACGTAGCTCTTGTGCTCACAAAAAAGTGCCGTAAGTTTGGGCCCCGTAGCAGCTTGTTTGGGAAATGCAGAGGCATTTGTTTGAAAATGTCTGAAGTAGGATAGCTCAAGAACCGGTTGACGGATTGTTGTTATTTTTGGGATCTCGGTAGCTTAAGTGATGCTTGACCTAATTAGATGACAATTACACAGATCACGATCTAATTTACATAATTAATGACAAAAGTCTATAAATCTGCTGTGTTCCATAATAGAACAATTAAAATGGTGGCATATTTAATCAAGAGGAAGAGGAACAGTAACAGATATTAATTATGTAAATTGTGACCCAATTTGATTAATTGATAAATTGATAAGAGAAATCTAAATGTCTTTCATACTGCAGTTACGTAGTGGACTTTTGGTGATTGTTAGTTTTTCAGTAGTTGAAGTTGTAGAATAGAATTTTTTCTTAAATTTTTTGTGAATAGGTTAAGGGGTTTAGATTGAGGGTTTAAAGTTTGGAGTCTGTAGTAGGTTGTGGGTACGTGTAATAGCCTAAGGACATTTTGTTTGCACATCTTTAAAGTGTAGGCGAAGTCTTTGTCCTTTTATGTAGTTGGTTAAACTAGCAGCATAGTTGGGTTAAGTAGGTTACGCTAACAGGCGTGTTGTTCTATGTAGTTGGTTAAGATAACAGATATCAGGGTGAACTAAGGTAAGATAACAATCACACTGACAGGGT